ATGTTCAGTGGTAAACGAGCACAGTGGGTTGTGATATTTCTAGAACATGTGCAGATACCTCCATGCAAGTAGGAGGCACTTTGTTATTTTGTTCCCCTCAGATGGGTGGATCAGCACAAGTAAACACAGTCATTCATGAGTCATCACCATTGTCCTACAAAGACATCTTTTTTCTCCCCACGTCGTCAGAACTGATGTAAGCAAAAGCTGCTCTGTCCATGCATCCATTCAGTCATGCATCCAGTTTTTCAGAAGACACTTTGAAACGGTGGAACTCAGAATTATTTGCATGGAGGCACAAAAACATTCAGACTCACAGGTTAATTTAAAATCCCTGTTGGGCTTTCACAAGAGCTGGAAAGTATAATCTATGTTTTGCATGAAATAAATTAATAAACACATTTTCATTTCTAACAATAAATCATTATTTTTCATATAATAGGCCTTTTACCAATTAGCAAGTTTAGATATTGTGTTAGGCATTACCCGAGTGAAGAGAGGGGCGGAGCTGTCAACTGATCACCACCTGGTGGTGAGTTGGATCAGATGGCAAGGGAACATGCCGCGTAGACCTGGCAGACCCAAACGCATAGTGAGGGTCTGCTGGGAACGCCTGGCAGAAGAACCTGTCAAGACGGTCTTCAACTCCCACCTCCGGCAGAGCTTTGACCACGTCCCGAGAGCAGTGGGGGACATTGAGTCCGAGTGGGCCTTGTTCCACTCTGCGATTGTCGAGGCGGCTGTTGCTAGCTGTGGTCGTAAGGTGGCCGGTGCCAGTCGTGGTGGCAACCCCCGTACCCGCTGGTGGACACCAGAGGTTCGGGGAGCCGTCAGGCTGAAGAAGGAGGCCTACAGGGCGTGGCTGGTCTGTGGGTCTCCGGAGGCAGCAGACAGGTACCGGATAGCCAAGCGGGGTGCAGCAGTGGCAGTTGCCGAGGCAAAATCTCGGGCGTGGGAGGAGTTTGGTGAGGCCATGGAGAAAGACTATCGATCGGCTCCAAAGAGGTTCTGGCAAACTGTCCGGCGCCTCAGGAGAGGAAGGCAGCAACTCGCTCACACTGTTTACAGTGGGGATGGGGAGCTGCTGACGTCAACTGAGGCTATAGTCGGACGGTGGAAGGAATACTTTGAGGAGCTCCTCAATCCCACCAATGCGCATTCCGAGGAGGAACCAGAGCTGGGAGGCCTGGGGATGGACTGTCCGATCTCGGGGGCAGAAGTTGCTGAGGTAGTCAAACAACTACACAGCGGCGGAGCCCCGGGGGCGGATGAGGTTCGTCCTGGGTATCTCAAGGCTATGGATGTTGTAGGGCTGTCATGGTTGACACGTCTCTACAACATTGCGTGGTCATCGGGGGCAGTTCCTAGGGAGTGGCAGACCGGGGTGGTGGTCCCCATCTTTAAGAAGGGTGACCTGAGGGTGTGTTCCAACTATAGGGGGATCACACTCCTCAGCCTCCCGGGAAAGGTCTACGCCAAGGTACTGGAGAGGAGGGTCCGATCGATAGTTGAATCTCAGATTGAGGAGGAGCAATGTGGTTTTCGTCCTGGCCGTGGAACTGTGGACCAGCTCTATACCCTTGCAAGGGTGATGGAGGGGGCATGGGAGTTTGCCCAACCAATCCACATGTGCTTTGTGGATTTGGAGAAGGCTTATGACCGTGTCCCCAGGGGCACCCTGTGGGGGACGCTCCAGGAGTATGGGGTGGGTGGCTTTCTGTTAAGGGCCATTCAGTCCCTTTACCAGAGGAGCGTGAGTTTGGTCCGCATAGCCGGTAGTAAGTCGGACCTGTTCCCAGTGAGGGTTGGACTCCGCCAGGGCTGCCCTTTGTCACCGGTTCTGTTCATCACTTTTATGGACAGAATTTCTAGACGCAGCCGTGGTGTGGAGTGTGTCGAGTTTGGTGGCAGGAGAATCTCGTCTCTGCTTTTTGCGGATGATGTGGTCCTCCTAGCTTCATCCAGCTCTGACCTTCAGCTCTTGCTGGGTAGGTTCGCGGCCGAATGTGAAGCGGCTGGGATGAGGATCAGCACCTCCAAATCTGAGACCATGGTTCTCGACCGGAAAAGGGTGGCTTGCCACCTCCGGGTCGGGGGAGAGGTCCTACCTCAAGTGGAGGAGTTTAAGTATCTCGGGGTCTTGTTCACGAGTGAGGGTAGGAGGGATCGGGAGATCGACAGGCGGATTGGTTCGGCGTCTGCAGTGATGCGGACGCTGAGCCGATCTGTCGTGGGGAAGAGGGAGCTGAGCCAGAAAGCCAGGCTCTCGATTTACCGGTCGATCTACGTCCCAATCCTCACCTATGGTCATGAGCTTTGGGTAATGACCGAAAGAACAAGATCGCGGATACAAGCGGCCGAAATGAGTTTCCTCCGTAGGGTGGCCGGGCTCAGCCTTAGAGATAGGGTGAGGAGCTCGGACATTCGGGAGGGACTCGGAGTAGAACCGCTGCTCCTCCGGATCGAAAGGAGCCAGTTGAGGTGGTTTGGGCATCTGGTCAGGATGCCTCCTGGACGCCTCCCCGGGGAGGTGTTTCGGGCATGTCCTGCCGGCAGAAGGCCCCCGGGTCGACCCAGGACACGTTGGAGAGGTTACATCTCCAATCTGGTCCGGGAACGCCTTGGGGTCCTGCCGGAGGAGCTGGTGGACAAGGCCGGGGAGAGGACGGCCTGGAGCTCCCTAATTGGGATGCTGCCCCCGCGACCCGGACCCGGATAAGCGGAGGAAGACGAAGACGAAGACGAAGAGGCATTACTGTCAGTTAAGGGGGCCAGGTCATGTTATTTTAAACCTTTGAGGGCAAAGCTTGGCCCAATATATGATAAAAGATTACCGTTGGCATCAGAATTTGGCATCAACAACATGAAAGCATGGATCCATCCTGCCTTGTATTAGTGGTTCAGGATGGTGGTGGTGTAATGGTGGGAGACATTTTCCTGGCACACTTTGGGTCCCTTAGTACTGATTGATCATCGTTGCAAGGCCACAGCCTACCTGAGTATTGTTGCTGACCAAGTCCATCCCTTTATGACCACAGTGTGCCCATCTTCTCATGGCTGCTTCCAGCTGGTTAATGCTCCAAGTCGTAAAGCTCCAATCATCTCAGACTGGTTTCTTGAACATGACATGAGTTTACTGTACTCAAATGGCCTCCACAGTCACCAGATCTCAATCCAGTAGAGCCAGTTTGGGATGTGGTGGAACGGGAGATTCACATCACGGATGTGCAGCCAACAAATTTGCAGCAACTGTGTGATGCTATCACGTCAATATGGACCAAAAGCTCTGAGGAATGTTTCCAGTACCTTGTTGGATCTATACTACCATCATTAAGGCAGTTCTGAAGGCTAAATCTAAATTGGAGTCAGGAATGCTGGCCTTTTCTGTCAAAGCACTAAGAGACTGGAACAATTTGCCTGTTTCCCTAAGAATCATCACTACAATTCATCAGTTTAAAATCTCTTTGTATGAATATTTAATACCCATCTGTAATAGTTTTTGATTTTTCACTTGTATCTTTCTTTTGTGTTTATCTTTTTATTTATAATTTTTGTTTTCATTATTATTAATATAATATATTATTTATTGTTTAAATAATTTTTATTATTATTTTTATTATTACTATTGTGGTTTCAGTGTGTGGCATTGAAATTTGCAATCTTGGTTTACTATTTGTTTTGATTTGTGTAGAGGACCCACTTGGAAACGAGGTGGTTCATCTCAAGTGGTTTATCCTCTCGAAATATAAGTTAATAAATAAAAGTGGGTTCATCCCAGTACTAGCAAGGTGTACCCAATAAATTGGCCAGTGACTGTATATATTACTGAAAAATAAATCCTATTTGTCACATATCTTTAGTCTTTCTGAACTGAAAGTATCATTTTTATTCAGTTTTTTGTCTACCAAGAATAATTTTATATTCCTTTTAGCATTTTACTTGTAAATTTTAAATATGGATCCCATAGTTAAAATGTAATCTTCATCTGAGTTTTCACATGGAAATAATCCCATCACGAGTCAACTCAGAAGGGAGCTTTTATGGAATGGTTCTGCAGCCTGAAAGGAATTTATTACTTATGTCGACAATATCTGTATCCTATTAGAGTGAAAATAAAACCATAAATCTTGTACCATTTTAGGTGAAAGTATTGGTGCAATGCCACATTTGTGGTTTAAATTATTAAACACGTCTTCACAATTTAAATGAAACAATCCTTAAACGTAAAATCTCCACTTTTGTCAACCTCTCTCCTCCAAGTAAGCCAAAATGAACCAACGACAGTCTTGAAGAACGAGACTGATCCCTCTTAATAGAGCCGACAAAATGCTGAGCTGCTGTTAAAATCTCATCTCTCCCGGAGCGACCTCATCCTGATGTCACAATCACAGAAAAGGCCTGGACCTGCTCCAATGACTGAAGAAATGACCCTGAAATAACTTATAGATGTTTTAGATGACCGCTCAGAAACCCTCATGTGTCCTGATGATGCCTCTTCATGGAGTGATTTTCCATCTCAGCCTTTTGTATTTAAAGTCTTTCGTCATTATTTTATACATAAAACTGTTCACGGAGCTGTGTGAGAGCTAAATCCGACATCACAAACACACAGCGCCTCAGAGAGCTCAGCTTTTCCTCGTCAGGCCGAGTCAAAAGACGAGCATGGATGGTTTCTCTAGCTGAGATTAAATGTCAGAGCCCTCCAATCATCTCTCGTGTCGCCCTCTGGATGCAACATAATAACATATGCCCTCTCTGTATTTGCTGGAGTTTCTCAAAATAAGTGGGGAGATGAATATTCTGCAAGTGTTTCCTCTTTTTTGCCCTGATTTCTGATGTAACAAACAGTCTGTGAAATTGGTTTAAAATTGGTTTCATTTCCTCACAGACAACTATTGCTTTGATGATAATACGGTGATTATGATACAGAATATTGGAACCTTTTAATGTATTTGCTGGGAGTGGAAGTTCAAAGTCTCACTGGACGTTTTCCCGCTCAGCTGGACAGGACAGAGGTGATCAAGAGCAACTTGCATCCGGTCTTTGGGAAGGTTTTCTGCCTGGATTACTACTTTGAGGAGGTCCAGAAGCTGCGGTTCGAGGTGTACGACATCCACGGCACCCACAGCATAGGGACCCGTGACGATGATTTTCTGGGAGGAATGGAATGCACGCTCGGCCAGGTAGGCAGATGTTACCACTTATGTGTCCCATTTAGCTTTAGTTTTCAAAAATAAACTGAACAAATGAGCTGTAAAAGCTTCTGTCGGTGCATTTCTTCACCTGCTGCTGTGTTTTTGCTGCGGAAAGGTCCAGAGTTAGTGATTGATAACAATCGCTGCTGTTGATGATTCAGATCCCGGAACACTCCTCTTCACTGCAGAGGCCTTAAGGTCAACGTTTTGCTTTTCTTGCAGATCGTGGCCCAAAAGAAAATGGTGAAACCTTTGCTGCTGAAGTACGGGAAATATGCCGGCAAATCCACCATCACGGTAGGTTTCTCGCTGTGTGTCTGTGACCTTTCTGCTCTGCTGATCCAAACAAGTGCGGATTAAAGAATGAATGGATGGTTAAATGTTGGTTTTACTTATGCACTTTTTATTTTTCAGGCCCAAAACAGTAGGTACTTTTACACAGATGTGTTTAAAGTAGGTCAGATTAGTTTTCCTGATGTATCTTTTTTTTTTGGTCAGCAAACAAATCTGAAAAAGAAAATCCACACAAAAACATTGTGGATTAGAGAATGAATAGATGTAAAAAAGTAACTGACCCCTAAACACAATAAGTCTTGGCAAAAACAACTGCAGTCAAGCTTTTGTGATAGCTGGTAACGACGTTTAGTCCCACTTATCTTTGTAGAATTGTTTTTGTAGCATTGTAGTGGGGATGCTTTCATCACAGACTATTATGGTACCTTTCATCTCTTTCTCTTTGCTGCATCATGAACCCCAGCGTGAACAAAGTTAGGCCTGCCGCACTTACTACAACCGTACTTAAGCTCAGCAAAAAAAAAAAAGTACCTACGCCAAGTAGGTTTGTGATCTATCAAACGTGCAGTACGCACAGCTGCACGCAATCTCCACTTCATAAATCAGAGACTGATGAGAAAGGTTCTCAGCTGCTTTTTAGTCACATCTCGCCCTCAACACGCCCACTTTCTACCATAAATGGTCAGTGCAAGATGCCTTGTGGATCTCATGCATATACATAAGCCGGCTTGTTGCAACATTTCGATCCCGACCGCAGATCAAGGAAGCCTTATTTCACAAGCAGAAATTGAGGTACTTGTGGGTGAGGTGGAGAAATAAAAGGAAGTGCTTTTGCAAAACAAATAAGAGAAAATCCACAGAGAGGCACAGCGTTGCTGAAGCCGTCAATGCTGTGAGTTCTGCACAGAGAGATCTGTGGCAGATTTAAAAAAACAGTCCAATCAGGATTCCATCCCCAGACTCCCGGGTGAGAGTCACACACGCAATCCAGTCAGCCAAACAGAAATCTCCCTTGACGAAGCCAGGGAGTATGATCAATCGGGTCACAGTGACAGGACACACACACTGTCACAGACGCATGACATTCTGTTTCAATCTGTCCCCCTGCTGATATTCAGCGTTCCGTATTCTGCGCCTCAGGTTGTGTGTGGGTGTGTGCGCGTGTGTGTGTGTATGTAGGGAGGCTTGTTCTGTGTGCGCATGAAGTGGTGCAAGTGATAATGCTGCAGGATTTCATAATTGTATCCTTCTCAGCAGCAGCACTGCAGGTGCTCTCCATGTGTAAGCCAGGTCCTTAGTCAACTTAAAGTTGTGCACATTTTTCCGCTAAGTTTTCTTTCATAAATCCCAAAGTTTGCGTGGAAAGTTGCTTACGCAGTTTTCCGACCCCATTTTGTGCGTAAGCAAGCTTGATGAACGAGGCCCTTGGACCATGCTATTTTACAACTTCCAGAGCAACAGTAGGCACAACATATGATGAAATATTACCGTTTTTATTTGTGAGCCATTCCTTCAACCTGGAAATAAGCAACTGGATTCGATGAAACCCCGCCTTCAACCGGAGAATTTTCCATTGGAGAGTTTACGCGCGCACACACGTGCACACACGTGCACACGCACGCACACACACACACACACACACACACACACACACACACACACACACACACACACACACACACACACTTGGACAGAGAAAAGGCAGCTGGGAGGAATTATTGTCGAGTCCGTCTCTGGATGAAGTAATCCACCTGAAAACACACTCAGTTACTGGTGGTGGGTTAACTAGCAGTCTGTCAAATCACTGTCACGTTCTGGCTCAGCTTTGAGAGCTTCTGAGCTTAAAATCCAACCATTTCTGCTGATTCCTCAGAAAGACTGGACAAGCATCCTGTTCTATCACAGACAAAAATCCACTTTTGGGTTTTAGGTATTGTTTAGAGTGCAAGGAAGACATAATTTATTCAGGACTGTGGAGATTGAACAGGGAGAGACTGCTTGTTAGTGTTTACAGTCAAGGTGAGAAGGGATCCGGGCTCAAGGCCTGGATGGGAGGAGCGCAGTGTTGTGACTTAACAACGCCCCATCCATCCGTTTGCAGTAGCTTAGCTGAGTTTAACTGAGGCCTAGTCCACATGTAGCCGGGTTTTTTAAAAAAAGGAATATCCGCCCCTCCAAAAACTTGCATCCACACCACCGCGTTTTAAAAACAAACTCTGTCCACACGTACCCAGATAAATACGTTGTTATGGACATGCCAGACCTGTAGGCGGCAGTACTTCCCCCGGTCTTAACCTCGTCCTTCGTCTGTAGTCTTCTGCAAGGAGCAGTAATTCCGCTTGCAAAAACAAACAAGCAGAAAGCGCTTGGACAATTGATGGATCGGGTAGTGACAGAGCGCAGCTCTGAGGGCTTCCATGATGCCGGCTAGTGTAAACACAGGTCGCACACGTGATGTCAGCATTTTTTGTCGCGGAAAGTGACGTTGCGGACCTTAAAACTCCGGTTTTGTCCGTCCACACGCAGACACCCAAAACGGAGAAAATGCAGATCTTCACTTTGCCCGGAGTTTTTAAAAAGATCAGTTTTCGTGTGAAAAAACTCCGTTTTCGTGTGGATGACAGGCCAAAACGTAGAAAAATATCTACGTTTTGGCAGATCCCCGGCTACGTGTGGACAGGGCCTGAGATAAAGGGAAGAAGCTGCTGAGACAGGAAAATGCATGTGTGAGGCCAAGAGCTGCTTCTTTTCACAAGTAAATAAAAATATAACATGGTCAAAATCTCCAAAAAGTGAATTTTGCATGATGTAGTCCCTTTAATTCCTATGACGTGCTGCTTTTAGAGATCTTTTAGCCCAATTTGTGCCGTCAGTCAGATTATATTATCATGATTTCCTCTGGTATTAGATACTAGCAGTCAGGTCTGGGTGTGATTAGTGGTGAACTTAGCTTTCCAAATAATGTTGTTAATCACAATTAATCCATAATTTGAGAAAGAAGTAGTTAGTTTTCCACACAGGTCAACATTGGTTTGGATGGTCAAAGCATCGTGCGAAAACTGCGTTTTGTCTGATGTAGAACTGTGTTTGCTGATCTGGAAGCTTAAAGTGTGACAAAAAGGCAAAAGCAAAATAAAACTGTAGGAGGGCAAATCACAGCACAGCACGTGTTACAGTTGAAATATCTAAATGACTTTGTTTTTATTCACTGTGGAGATATTTTAATGAAGAGGACTTTTTTAAAGTTCATGAAAGATGAGTCTGCTCTGTTAAACAGAGCACTACAGACACAAGAGGGCATGAAAACCCATAAAAAATGATGGGTGTGTGAGAAATGATGTCTGGCCTTTGGGAGGGAGGTGCTGCTGGTTCATTAAGCACCATCTCCACTGCACTTTAACCCACCTCTCCTAATACATTTATTCCCAACAACATGCTTGGAGGTCTCTAAAGAGTCTTGACTGCACTATTATTTTGCTCGTGTTTAACACAGGTCTGATCATCTTGTATTTTTGCCAGTTTCTTATAAATTTGGCGTCAGAGAAGAATCAAAACCCATTATAAACACAAACAGGAAGTGTTTCCTCATCTGTTTTGTACTCATGCAGCACACAGAGGAGATCCATGAGAGATCTATTTCTAAATTTTAATAAATAAATCTATTTAAATCTGAACCAATATCTTCCAGAAGGGACACAGCATTTTCAAAAGCTTTTTATTTTATTTAAATTTTTTTACCATTTACTCGAAGCAAATAAGAATATATTTGTACGTCTGGAGCTTTGGGTCAGAGTTGCACAATATCCAGGTAATAAGCTGAAGGTAATTACTGGGTTCTCTGCTCATATCAAACAGTTTAGAGGATATAAACAGGGAAGATATTTTTGCAGGTTGTTATTTGTGCTGTGGGCTGCATTATGAGCTCATTAAACGGTTTCCAAAATTGCCCAACCTTGTTTGCAAAGAGATGCAAAGAGCACGACTCCTCACTGGATGATGGCTTCAAAGTGGTCATTCTGAAAATCTGCAAAGGACAACAGGGAAGATTAAATCCAACAGTTAATTTATTACTTCTTAATAATGAGTTGGCATAGCTTTGTTTTCCTGGCTTTTTCAGGCTTTTTAAAATGGAGTGTCCCAGGTGGGGCACTTATGCGTGGGTGGAACCAATGGTCATCCCTCACAAAATGATTCTGTTTTTCATTCTAGTGAATTTATGAGCTCCACATTGTGCCATGACCAATTTTCTCTCTACTTCTATTTCTTCTTTGAGCTGTTTTGTGGTGTTAGTAAGCCCCGTCGGAGGGACCAGTGGCGCCAGTGCTTGGCAGCCTCGCCTCTATCAGCGCGTCCCAGGGCAGCTGTGGCTACATTGTAGCTCATCCTCACCAGTGTGTGAATGGGCGAATGACTGATTCTGTTGTAAAGCGCTTTGGGGGGTTCCAGGACTCTACAAGGCATTATATCAAATACAGGCCATTTATCATTACCACCACCAAATGGAGTGGACTGGGACCATGTTCTAAATACTATTTATGTCAATATGAAAATATAATGAAGAATACAAAAAATGTTCTATAGCCTGGGACTGTAAACCAGTGTTACCCCTCTTTTCCACCAGATGCAAAACAATATAGTGACGTTTTACCCGTGAAATTCCTTCCAACTGGGAGAAATTCTGACATAAAACAGGAGCGAAAGCATTCCACACAACTGATGCCTTGAGGTCAGAAAATCACAGGAGAACTGTAACTCCATGCATGATTTCAGAAGTCCACACAATAAAAACGAAGGAGAAAGACAGCAGCATGTATGCAAAAGCTCTGTGGCTTATTTTCTGTTCTGTTTACATTGGCTTCATTGGTTTCACAGGAAATGACATATTGCATATAACTTTTGTTTTGAAAGTTTCCAGATGTTTTACACTGCCTTTGTGTTTGACTTCCTGTCTGGCCAGATCTAAACTGTGGAGTTTGGCTTGTTTTGGAAGCGTAGAACGTACAAAATAGACTTGAAACGTTCATTTTTGTGACGCGTCCACAGCGTTGCACTTAGCTGCCGGTGGAAAGGACCCTGTCCACCATAACGACGGCTAATTGCCGTGCAGTGCATTTCGCAGCCATTTCGCGCCATTTACACATCTAGTGGAAAAATGGGGTTAAAGGCGTATGCTGCCACCTACTGTTCTGGGGTTTCAAACCCCAAGTCTTTTGTTGACAATTTAAAGTAAGTTTAAATGGGTTAGGGTACCTGGGGTTGCCAATCAGATTTCAAGAGTGGCATGGGCAACCCAAAGCCACTCCCTGGAAATGCCAGCACACCAAAAACAGGTTGATTCTGGGAGTATGTTGGTAATTACACCTGGGTGAGAGACACACACACTAACCAGTCAGTCAAAGGGATATCCCTATGGCCAAGTAGCCGGGGCACATGATCAATTGGGATAACGTGATGCTCACCCTTTACAAAATACAAATTATATTTGTGTGTGGTTGGAGGATTTAATGTCCGAAACATTTTATTATTGGATAATCTGAGATATTTGTGTGACGTTTTGTCATGTTTTTTATTTCTTTAAGATATATTTTTTTAAAACTTGTGTTTTTCGTGTAATTATTGCATTCTGAATTATGTTCCGAAATCTCATTAGATGTTACATTTCAAGTCTTGTTACTGTCTTTGGTTCACATGTGTTTGTGTGTGACGTTTGGGACATTGTTAAGCTATACAACGTTGTTATTACATTCTCTTAATTGCAGTTTTAGAAAGTTGAGCTCAGATTCGACTCCTGAATGCTTATGGCTGCATTATTTAAATGTCTTAGACAAACAAATGAGAAAAAAATACCTTCAGCTGCTTTTATGGAGACAGCATGCAGCTTTTTCTTTTAACTAGCTGTTTTTCTGTCTCGCGGTGAAAAATACTTCCTGAACTGTGACAAACAGATGGATAATCCCAACTGTTATCACAAACTAAAGCAAAACCTCATTTAAAACTACCACATGTTTAAAATCGCAGCCTTGGTCCTGACGAGGATAGAAATCGAATGGCACAGAGACGCATTCACACTCTTTCTACCTTCATGTTTCGCAAAGATGTTCACCGTCTCTTGTTGGTTGTGGAGGCAAACTGTCTGATAAAACACACCAGTTTCCACTTTGCAAGTCATCACTGTCAAGCTGCAGTCATGCTCGTTGCACAGCCACGGTTCCTGCTGCCTGGTGGGAGAGTTTAGTTAGACAACAAACTCTGCAGCTCTGTAAGCGGTGAGAACAAAACAAAAGGAAAAAAGCTCACTGAACCTTAAAAACTACAAACTTTTTCTTTTTAACTACCTCAAAACAAAAAGCATGACACTGTTAGGAGTTTTAACTGTTGCTCCACAGTGAGACAAGGTGACTTTCCCAACACAGTTTGAAATGATAACTCGGAGCCGGTGGCCTCCAGATTTCAGCTAATGGCTTGGCCAACAAATTTTTTTTTACATGCATTAACTGGTCACGTTGTTGAAAGAGTTACAGTAAAAAGGTCAAACAAAGAGTTAAAAAAACTTCCTGTTAGAAACGTGGATAAAAGTTGAATATTTATAAAGGTCTACAAGGTAATGCGGGGGTGTTTTATTACGTTTGGTCACACAATCATACAGCGGTGTTAAGTCTTGTCCTTGTGTTTGGCTTTAGAATTGTTGTTTTCAGTGCATCTATCAGGTTGCTCATCACAGACTGCATTTATGAGCTTTCCTATTAAATTTGACCACGTCTGATGTCTAGATCACATGAATCCAGGGCAGTATCGACCATTTATGAAATGAAACAATAATCTTTTTACTTTCCTTTGGATCTATTGTCTATCATTCATTTTTAGAGTGAGCATAAACATTTAAAGATTGTATCTCTGAAGGAAAACGGTTTATGTCATTAAATCATTGAGATTATTTAGGGATTATTTCTAAAGGCAGCAAATTCTAATGACAAATCCTTTCAGGTGCACGCTGAAGAAATATCTGGCAACAACGGTTATGTAGAGCTCTCCTTCTGTGCCAAGAAGCTGGATGATAAGGTGAGTGCTTTTTATTTATTAGCTCTAACAGCTAATATGTTATGGTTTAACCTTGGTATTTTTTTAAAGAAATAATCAGAATAAATTTTGCATCAATGTGGGGGTGAAATATAAAAATTAGCTATCTATATTTATGGATCATTTAGTCCCCCCGGCTCATAACGCCAGGAGGGAAATGTGTTGGTGGGTCCACTTTAAGGCAGGATGCTACTGACCTCAGCTGCTCTGCCTCTTACATGCTCAAACTTTGCCAAGGGCATGTTTCAATCAGAAAGACAGCAGGAGCTTACATCCTCTTACACTTCTGATGATCCAAAGTCACACCGAGTTCTCAGGAACGAGCCTCAGGAGTCCAGAGTCAGGGGCTGACCTTGATTCCTTAAGGTACACACAGGCAGCTCATTTAGCCTGGAAACTGTGGTTTATAATTTACCTCGGCTCTGACAGTGAAATAAAACCACTTATGTTGCAATGTAGATTAAAACTAAAGGAATGACAGGATAGAAATGACATACAGGATGTTCAGTTTGCTGGAAATGTTGAGTTTTTGGTTCAGTCCAACAGAGGTAATCTGAAGCGACTGCCTCTGAGGTTTCTGCTTCTTCAAATAAATCACAGCTTCTTGAGCGGTGATCGTTTCTGATAACATGCCACTGAGACAAAGAGGTGCAGGTTTCTATCCTGAAGAAATGACCCTCACTGTGTCAGGTATGCTCAGGAAGTCTCTTTCTGGCTACCACATTGTTTCTCCGTCATTTCAGCCAATATGAAAAAAGAGTAGAGCTTTAAATCTGTTTTTGAAAAATTTGCTCTGGAATAATCACTTTTGCTGATCTGCCCAACACAAACATGGCCGTTAACTATGTTTGTCATCACTGTCGAGGGATGGAGTCAACACTCCCTTGGCTTTAAGTGCTGGGTTGGTGTGTGATGGAGTGATAGTAGTGCCATCTGTCGAATTTCTACTAGACAGATTAAAGATTAAAGTCCCATAGTTTTCAGACACACTGGTATGGTGTGGAGGAAATAGTCCTCTGCGTTTGACCTATCCCCGTGGGGAACAGTGAGCTGCAGACATGACCTTGCGCAGGAACTATTTGGTGGTTTAACCCCGATCCAACCCCTTAAAGCTGAGTGACATTGGGTCCCATTTTTATAAAGTCTTTGGTATGACCCATCCGGGGTTTGAACTCCAATCTCCCATTCCCAGCGCAGACACTCCACCACTAGGCCACTAAGTTGGTAGACAGAGGAAGGAAGTGATGGAGAAACCGCAGAAATACACGAAGCTGTTCCAGTGTTTTTTTTTTCATTTTATCTGATGAAACAGATCATTTATTCATTCAAAATGTAATTGCACAAGTTTGTTACTGATAGAACAAACAGGAAGTTTAAGTAACAACACGTAGCTTTGTAAACTTTAAGCTAGAGCTCCATCTTTGATCTAAGTGATTGTGGAGTTTGAAACTTGACGAGTTTCTAATTGGACACCATACAGCTCTCTGCTGACCAGAAACCGCACTAGATAGTTTTGTGGAGCAAGTAGATGTCCTATAGGGTGCTCTTTACCTGCTTTATGGCTGTTAGCTGTTATGCTAGCAGTTAGCATCACCATTTTGCTGATTGTCGAAAACAGGCACAAGAAGAAGAAAAAAAAGACGTTTACTTTCTTGTCGGCGTCATGGCAGAGCCTGAAAGTAAAAGTAAGAGACAAATTTCTTTGGAGGTGAAGCAATGAGCTAAAACCAGACTAAACATTTGTGACCTGAGTGATGATGACCTGGCTTTGTTAATACTGGACTTGTGACTAATAGTATTTTTTGCCTAATAGTTTGGACCTTTTTACTTTATTTTAGTATTAGTTGGCTCATGTTTGTGTTAGCTTGTTGTTAGTGCTAGCTACAGCAGGCTGCTGCAGGGCTGTTTGCAGATACAAATCAGCTTATCTCATTTTTAACCAGTGTAATATCTGTTGTGCATCTTCCCCTATTTAATATAATATAAATTATGAACTATTTAGTAACAGCACTAAAACCTAACCAAGTAATTATGATAGATAATTAATGATACCTGAAGTCTTTTTTTTGGTATTATCTTTTTTAAATTTTATCCAAATTTTATCCAAACATGAGGCTGTTCTAATGATCCCATTTTGGACACACACTCGTCATATCTTCGGTTAAAATGTTGTGTTTTGTAAGCTGCTGAATAACGGAGAGTCCACTTGTGTGAGACAGGTTAGGTGAAAACGCCAGCCGCTGATGATGACTGAAGGACCAAAAATATTTCTGATGAGCGGCTCACTGGTCCTACCCCCCCCCCCCCCCCCCCCCCCCATTATTTATTATCAGGTCAGAGAATGCATGTCAGTGAACAGAGTTTAATTATGAAATATGATAGATTGTGCTCACCGCTAATGATTAACATCATTGTTAGCCTGAGATTAAATGACATCTGTGCCTCATCAGTCTGTGCAATAGAAGCCACAGGGCTACTGGTTACTATGGCAACAAAGAGAGGATACTACAGCTTTGTGTTGTTTATTTATTTACTTACACCCCACCCCCCCATGCCTCAGGAGATGTATCTGGCTAATGTGGCGGGAAATGCATCCTTAGCTGTCTTATCCAGTGTACACACACACCTTAGTGCCCCCGTAGCCTTACACACACACACACACACACACACACACACACACACACACACACACACACACACACACACACACACACACACACACACACACACACACACACACACACACACACACACACACACACACACACACACACACACACACACACACACACACACACACACACACACACACACACACACACACAGAAACAGCAATTATTTGTTTTCCTCCCTGAAGAATGAATTGACCTAAATAATCCATGCAGCCTCTGCTCTCAGACGCCCACACTGAAGATAAGGCTAGAGCACCAAAATGAACAATAAATGTTTTTAATCTAAAAAAGTAATTTTTGATTTACCCTCCATGATGGGGTGAATGGACATAACTGCAGCTGAGATCGTTGATTACATGAGAAATCACGCCTCGCAGAGAAGGAATGTAATTCTTCATTGGCACACTTGGGGAAAACTAATAAAGATGATTTAGGGTTGCAAAACGAAAAACTTTATGGACATAAAGTTAATTAGGTTATTTTGCTAAAACAAAAGATGAGCAAGTGTGGCAAGAGCTTATAAAATATTCTTAATTTCAGAGCTGATAGTGATTCCAATAAAGCCACCCTGCTGTGCTGCAAACTAAATGACTGCTTCCCTAACCTTTAATCATAGAGACAAACGCCTCACCCTCTTCCTCCAATCAGCCCTGTGAGGAATTCATTTCTTCTTTTTTTATCTGACAAACTCGGGATACATTTTCAGTTAACGTTTTGGCAAATGCCAGTTACTCATCTCACTTATGTTTTAATAAAATTATCTGCATCCTCACCTGTTCTCATTAAGTTCCCCTCCTGAGCTGCGACCCACCCCTAAACCCACACTCATTAGGGTTTCTATCTTAGATTTGGTTCCTAAGAAATAGACTTCAAACTGGGAACGTCAACAAAGGAGGAGGAAATAATTGTACTTCTGTACTAAAGTCTGGGGAACTGTCTCATTAGCTCCAAATAACGAGACAGTCTGAGTGTGAAGTTGCACTTCATTTACTTTCAAACAGATTTTGATCTCATACATAAAAAAATTAATAAAGAAAAATATTGATATTTTTTAAATATTTTAATATAAATGGAGCTAGTTGCAGACAAACTTTCACCTATATTATCATCATCAGAGACATCCAGCATTATGAGACATTGGAACATTTTTATTCCTTCTTCTGCAGGATCTTTTCAGCAAGTCGGACCCTTTTCTGGAAATATTTCGAATCAATGACGATGGAACTGAGCAGCTAGTCCACAGAACCGAGGTAGCTTTGCTGCATTTCCTCTTTATTTTCACCAACAGCTGTTTCTGTCTTTGCTATCTGTGGGTTTTCTGGTGTGCTCCTAATCTTACAGGTGATTAAAAACAACCTGAACCCAGTGTGGGAGCCTTTCAAAGTGTCACTCATGTCTTTGTGCAGCTGCAACGAAGAGCGAAAGCTCAAGGTAGGAAACATTTGGTGAGCTTTTTCTTCACAGTGAAGCTACTGTGGTTTTAATGCCAGCCCCAGACTTGATATTTGGAGGACACATTTCTTTAAAAACTGCACGGCTGCATTTCCATTTCTAAAGTCATGGCATCCATTCATCCAGCGTTGCAATACTAGTGATGCACGGGTTATGGTTTTTTTCAACCCGCGAGTACCGCAGATTTGATAACGTCTGGCCCGCACCAAATCGCCCCGCATCACTGGGTCTATTTTTACAAACCGCGCCGCCCCGACCCGCCTCATTAAAAACACGTTATTGATTGAATGCACTTTTATTCAGACAAAGGTGCTTAAACAGTCCCCCAAATTGGCACTGGAAAATGGTAATAACATTAACATTTTTAAAGGCTAAAATAAAATAAAAAAATAAAAAAAAAGCGGATAAAGAAAGTTTAAAATTAAATTAAATGAGGGTTATTTTTGTTTGTTACCCTAACAAATACAAAAACAGCACCTAGAGCCCCTGCTTGGGCAAACAAAATAGTAAAACATTTCACAACTTTTATCCAACATTTTGAAAGCAAACAAACACATTACCTGTTATGTCCTTGTTTTGTCCAGCCAATGCCGCCGCTGTTGTTGTCTGCGCTGATTACCTTGCTGAATCTTTCCCAAACACGCAATTTAGCAGTTGGTCCCTCCTTTCTTTTAACAATGTAAACTCCCAGATGAATTTTATCCAAAATATCGCCCTCCATCGTTTTGTTGACGTGGCTGCTTGGAGCTCTGGTGCACTTCACTGGCGCTTTCTGTACGTGCTACGTCATGGGGTCGAAGGTTATCTGCGCGTAGTTATGGGGCGACGGTGGCACAGGAGTTAAGTGCTCGCACCGTAATCTGAAGGTTGCAGTTTCGAGCCCCACTCAGTCTGTCACTGCCGTTGTGTCCTTGGGCAGGACAATTAACCCATGTTGCCTGCTGGTGGTGGTCGGAGGGACCGGTGGCGCCAGTGCTCGGCAGCCTCGCCTCTGTCAGTGCGCCCCAGGGCAGCTGTGGCTACATCATAGCTCATCCCCATGTGTGTGAATGGGTGAATGACTGGTTGTGTTGAAAAGCGCCTTAAGGGGTTCCTTAACTCTAGAAGGTGCTATATCAAATACAGGCCATTTACCATTTATGTTTTAAAATGTGACCGTGTTTAAATAACTGTCTTAAATATTGTGTTTTACAAAATAAACATTGATTAATGTCTTCATACTCAGTGTGCATATATATATATATGTATATATTTCATGAACCTGCCCCAAACTGCACCGCACTGAAGTAAAAATGTATTGAACCGACCCAACCCGACCCGCGTGTACAGCGGTTTAGAAGTCAATCCGCGCATCACTAATCTGATTCTGGCAGAATATATGGAGCCACACTAGGCTTTTCATCTCCTTTGGACTTTCAGCAGAAATTAGTTCAATTTAAACCACGTTCTTTATTTTAAAAATGAGTGCAGGAAAGCAAGTTTATCATCTGAATTTTATTGATTTTAAAGAGCTACTGGTAATCATTTTTTTAGTACATTCCACATTTGAACAGAAATATTTTATTATAATTTTACAGATTCTACGGCTTTCCATGAGTTTTATTTAGTAGTTGAAATAATAAAACAATATTTTATAGTGAGAGGGTGCATCTCTCTGCTTTAGGGTGTGACGGAGGTGAGTTTGTGTAAGAAAGGTCTCACGCTCCCTGACCCTATCCGTCACAAACTTTCCCAACAAATCCTGACATTGGCATGTTGAAATGGGCTTGTGCAAGCAGGAAATAACTAGGACATTCGGTCAGCTGATTTTTTTGGTCAAACTGCAAGAGCTAAACCTCGACCTGCGCCGCTGATGCAACCCGGTGTCATGCAGCTGCTCATGAAGGTTTGCAGGATGGGTGCAGCTCTTGTCAGACCTCTAAAACTTTTCCTGTTGGTTTAACTTCCAGTCTATGTTTCTTTACAAGTCTCCAACTGGTTAAGCTGATTATTTCCAAAATACTGCTATTTTTTTAAATTCTGCTGTTCAGATTTAATTTAGTTTTAACATTCATCCACTTTTTCCCCTCACAGATGATGGTCTACATTATTTTCCCATAAATGACTAATGTGTTGGACAGTTTTATTAGTTTCATAAATCTTCTTTGCTGCTTTATCTTTTCTGTGGTCATAAGAGACATTTTCTAACATCTGCTGATGAGAAGCTGCTCGCTGCATCGTTTAGGGTACAAAAGCTTGCTGCCAGCTGAAATGTGCTAAAACTAATTAATACTCCCATCCGTTTGTGTATTAAAGCCAGGTGGTGACTTCTTTCTCTTTATTCGGGAGGTGTGAAATGTACATTTTGTGTGCAGCAGGAGTAACAGTGCTGTCTGTGTGTGCCACAGTGCCTGGTGTGGGATTATGACTCCAGGGGGAAGCATGATTTCATCGGCGAGTTCTTCGCCACATTCAGGGAAATGCAGAAAATTTCCAGTGGAAATAAGGTCAGTGAATTTAGAAGCAGAACCGAGCCGAGGAAGAGGAAGAGTCGGCTTTGTGACTGCTTCATTCGTTTCCAGTGTGCTTCTCACTTCATGCTCCTGAATCTATCTGACATGAAACGAATGTCACAGTGCTTTTATATCATCAGAATGCAATAAGCTGTTGCTGCTGTGTCTCTGTTCTTCACTTGTTCTCCTCCAAGGTGTTGTGGGATTGCATGAATCCCAAGTACAAACAGAAGAAGAGGAACTATAAAAATTCCGGAGTTGTCATTCTCACTGACCTGAAGGTAGGAAACTGCTGCAGGAACATTTCCTGTGGGTGTCTTTTATCTCAGGGCTGTAATTTGCACCATAAACACAATTTAGGAACACATTCCTTTATCGTTTCAGGAGCGCTTTGAATTTATGGTGATAATCTGTTTATAGGCATTTTTTGCACTTTTACAAGATATGATGCTGTCAAGATATCACTCTGGAGGTTTTGCTTGAAAGAATCTTTTTTTTCCTCCTCTCAGCTCCACAGAGTTTATTCCTTCTTAGATTACATCATGGGAGGATGCCAGATTCATTTTACAGTAAGTTAAACACTCGGGGAACCTGCATTTACCAGGTTTTGGAGTGAAATAATCCTTGAAAATTATCTACATTTTACGATAATTGTATTTTATTATGTTTTTGTCTTAGTGTGTTTTTTATGCACCTTTAAAGAACAAATAAAAACTTTTCCCGTCGCGTGACCTTTAGTCTGCCCTCTGTAAGACTCATGCCCATGTTGAGTTAAAGAAACAATGAATAAAACATGATTCCTGATAGATGCAACAGCCTGTATGTAGCTGCTTCAGTTTGTGTGGGTGTAACAAAAACAAGTTTTCACATTAAATCATAATTTATTCAATTATATTCTGTTATTTTCCGACTCCTTCACTTAGAGCTGCTTTAAAAAAGGCAACTGAGTTTTTGCATAAATAAGACAAAAACCAACATGATTTGTGATCTTGCACTCCCCCCCACCCCACCAGGTTGCCATTGACTTCACAGCTTCCAACGGAGACCCCAGGAACAGCTGCTCATTGCATTACATCAACCCGTACCAACCCAACGAGTACCTAAAGGCTCTGATTGCCGTGGGGGAGATCTGCCAGGACTACGACAGGTTTGTCAATCTTGTGTTTCTTGGAAAAGGCTCGTTGGATTCTCCAGGAGCCGTCATCGTGTCCTGATGCTGATGAGAGTTGCAGAGTGCTGCTCTCATGTGTTTTTAGTGGACTCTCCGACTGAAAACAGCCACTCCATCTGAACCACAACAAAAGGGACGGTGATGGAAGCTTTACAGCATGGATAAAAAAATACTGCAGGTTATTGAAATTCTGCTCACCAGCTAATGGAGCTGAGCTGTTAACCCACCCTTATGTTTTCACTGAAATGTTTTCAACATTCTGAGTCCTCCCTGCCTGTTGAGCCACTCTGCAGCTCCACCAGGACAATTAAGTGAGGCAATTTTGTTCTCTTAACCCTCTTTGTAAGTAAGGGATGAGAAAATTACTTGTCTGGAGCATCTCTGGCCTCTAATGGTGTTATTTATTCAGGAGACGAATCTGTCCGCGGTGGTGGTTGTTTGCGGCACTTAAAAACGCTGACCCTGCTTTAAGGGTCCACCTATGGTCTGCTCTACCCCTCAATCTCTGTCCATCAATTCAAATCCTTCCGTCTGGCTGCTTGATGGATGGATTATTTTTCTTTTTTTACATTATCACTTTCAGGCATTTCAATTTTCTGCAGATCCAATTTATTTATAACCAAATACACAACAACTGATAAAAAAACAACAACAATTACATATTTTACTTCAACAGATAATAAATTAAGTTAAATCAAATGAATAAACCTTTCCTCGGTCTGTGAATACAGTGAATTGTATTTATTGTCTTTTATGAGAAAATCTAGTGCCATTTGTGTGAATACCTACATGAATTACATTAGATTTCCTTTTTTATGGTACAATGAGAATTTGACTAAATCTGTTTTATTTAGCTGCATTTATAGTTAGAAACACAAAAGTAGACTCTAAGAAAAATTAGCTCAAATGACAAATAAATACAGCCACCACTGTCTACAGTGCTGTACGTAAAGTACGATAAATACATGAAAAAGTTTAAATAAATCATAGAAATAATGACGATAAGAGATCATAAATGCAAGAGCATAGAAATACTTGTAAAAATGTTGACAGCAGGAGCCTCTGGGATATTGAAGAGCAGAGCAGCTGGCTTCAGTTTAGGACCAACGATCAATCCTCTTTTCCTTTTTATGACGCAGTCTGGTAGCCTAGAAATCCAGATGAACAGTAGCAGAAGCAAAATTATTTTTTCCTCTTCTTCGCATATATAGGATAGCTTGCCAGGCTAGCACTCTGGATCTTATGATAATAGTGCCTTTCAGAGTCAAAGGACTTCAAAGTGCTTTACACTACAGTGGTGATGAGCTACGATGACAGACAGAGGCGAGGCTGCTTAGCACAGGTGCCACTGGTCCCTCCGACCACCACCAGCAGGCAAGGTGCATTTAGTGTCTTGCCCAAGGACACAACTGCAAAATTCTCTGTCCAGAGCCTTCCAATTACTGGACAACCCATTCAACCTCTTGAGCTACTGCTGCTCCTTAGTATGACTAAAAGCAGTTGTATATTACATCTCAGAGACCTGGAACTGACATGAGGCTGCAGGAGAACAGACAGGTCCTGTCTGTTCAGCCTTTCAGGTCTAAAAGAGTTTAAAATCAAAATAAACAGGGAGCCAGAGAAAGTTAGCAAGGGCAGGAGTAATGTATTCACGCCTCTTTGTTCATGTCAGCAGGTGAGCTGCAGCATTCTGAACTAGCTGCAGTGATGAAAGACAACCAACAGAGCTACAGTTGTAAGCATGGGTTACCGTTTCAAAGGCATCAAAAACAAACAAAAAAGATTTCCATAAAAAGTTCAGTTAAAAAGAGGATTTTTTTTTTACCACAGGTTTAAATTATTTTTAAAATGTAAAAATGGAATCAAATAATCTCCAGATGACAAAAATCAGTGTGAAAATAACTTTGGGTTTCATCAGTAGTAAAAAATTAAGACTTGTGGACTGTCGATAACTGAAAAAAAAAAAGAATTAAATTTGTTCTGTCTTAACAAAATCCTGGTACCTACACAGATATTTATTTGCTAGCATCTACCACTGACTGAGTTAAAGGTGGATCCATAGCTGACACGGGTCCCAAACCCAGAGGCCATACGCTCCACCGATGTACTCTTTATGAGCGATGTTGTGGCGCAAGCTGATTGATGAACATCTGCAGGTCAGCTACAGGAATTAGACAGGTGTAAACTGGCTAGAGGAAATGCCAGACAACTACATGTTGGAAATGGTGGTCTATGTCCAATGAGGATGCATTCAGGATTAGCACTGGGTGACAGCAGGAGAGCTTTAATCCTGACAGAAATGCCAGTGTGCTTTCTGTGTCGTCTCTGATGCCTTCTTAGCAGAGTGAGAAGCTGGAACCCCAATAGAAACAACAGAGCAGAGAATTTCTGGCATTCTTCATCATTACGTCATAACGTCCACAACAAAAGTCTATAACAGTTTATTTAAAAAATATTCCATTAAAAAAAAGTGGGAAACAGCAAAAACTTAAAAAGTGGGAAATGTAGAAAAAGCTAAAAGTAAAATGTGGGGAATGCAGCAAAAACAAAAAAAAGGGAAACAGTAAAAACTAAAAAAGTGGTAAACGTAGCAAAAACTAAAAAAGTAGGAAATGTAGAAAAAGCTAAAAGTAAAAAAATGGGAAACAGCAAAAACTAAAAAGTGAGAAAAGTTGCAAAAACTACAACTAAAAAAAATGGGAAACAGAAAAAACTAAAAAACGTGGTAAACGTAGCAAAAACTAAAAAAGTGGAAAATGTAGCCAAAGCTAAAAACACGGGAAACGTTGTAAAAACTAAAGTGGGAAAACAGGTCCCTGAAAATCTGACCGAATCTGGTCCCCATGCAGCGAGAGCTAATATCAGTCATCTGTATCCAGAGATTTATTTCAATTACAATGTCTAGACAATTGTCTAATTGTCTAATTACAATTAGACAAAAGTCTGATTTCTAGCCACCTTATTTTTCGGTAGGCTCATGGAAAAACAATGCGAGCAACAACTGGTGAGATAACCAAACTAGTGCATACCCATTGGTTTCATATTGAGGTTTTGTTGCTAGTAGCGGTTTATTTGTACATTTGAAGAGGATTTAAAACAATATTTACCCCCAAAAATTGTACTCACTCAGCTCGGGAAGATGTTGCACTGTTGCACAAACAACCAGAGAAAATAAAATTTGTAAGAGCGATGTTTATAACATGCACCTCTGAGTAAGAGACAGTGCGGCTGCGAGCGTCGGTACAGTTTTCACTGTCTCCACGGAAACAAGGAATCCAGAGGGATGTGGCTGTAAATTCTTAACTTGAAAACCACCAAAAACTTTATTTGCGCGTTCCTTTCATTTTGTTGGGAAAAGACCCAGATAGGAACACCCGCATTCTACTTTGTTGTTGGATATGACAAACCTCCGGAGAAGAGTAGTAAAGAGATTTGATAGCAGTCTCACAAGAGCAACAGATATGATCTGTACAATTTTCTGAATAGATTTAATGTAACATGCATTTAGACTGTCGTTATTAACCCAAAAGGGTCGTCCTGCTGTTTGTAGAAACTGAAACCCAGGCTTGATGATAAGGGCTTTAAGGCCCTGACTCTCTACATCTGCTTTACGTAAATAAGATTGTGTACCACCTCTTTCAACAAAGCACTTATTGCTAAGTAGCTACTGCTTAAGATTGTTTATTGCCTTGCTATCAGGTGTGATTGAGTTCAGAGAGTAGCTAAAATGCTACTGCATGTAAGCTTTGATCAGATTTTAAGATCGTCCTCCCACCCTGGTGCAGTAGGCAGAAGGAGAGTAACGCTGACAGCTGGTGTTCACACATTTTCCCTCTCTAAAAGCCCATTCGAGGATTAGCATGAAAGGATCGCATCGTCCCTATGTAAACAAGCTCAGACCGGAAGTCGGTTGCATTTTTTCACACAAAGACTCATGGTCAATAAGAATAGAGGTGAGGGTAAGAATAAAGACCGTTCAGTTCCTTCTTCACAAAAACAGGTCAAAATAGCACATTCATGTTGGAAGAAAACACATCATTCTGCTGGTTGTTCTCTCACAAAGGAGACATCAAGTTTCTTCAGCTCCCCCACTTGAGACAAAGACTCACTCTTAGCGTATGATGTTAAAACAATTAAACAATTATAAATGAGTAAATTAAAGTAACTGATTTTGATTTATCTGGAAAACGTTACTGCAAAAATGTAATTTGTTAAGTATCTGTTTTGTAGTCCTAGACCAAGAGAGCTTGGCTCATGTCGTCACAGGAAGTACCTGAGATGTGCTTCTGTTTGTAGTGCCGTTTTGCTTGTGTGTCGCTCTCTTTACTCGCTGTGGTAGATTTCCACCACTATTTCTGAGACCGGTTCCCCTTCCCAGCCGTAGCTCATTACCCCAAACCACAGATGAGATAGGAGCTGACACCAGCAAAGCAGGCACTTCACAATGAAGTGGGAGGCTTTATGGCAGAAGGGAAAAAAATCAGCAGGGTGTCAAATCTGGATAGACAGAGGAGGTGCAGCATAAAGCCCAAATGTTTGCATGTGGAAGTTCCTGTTGGTGCAAATATAAATACCGACTGAGATTGTGGAACTATAGTAAATGAAAAATTTGAGTTACTTTAAGGAAAACTGGCAGGCGCTCAGTAATTAACGACAAATGATTCATAATGTGATCTGATTTGAAGAAAACCCATCAGTCATTTGTCGAAACTAAGCCAGATGAGGATTACTCCGACTCCTGATTTATGCAGATCCTCCTATTGAATGTCAGGGAGCACTGTCTTCCTCATTTGGACGCTGAAAACCTGCCTGAGAAACTCTCAGCTCCTCCTGGTAGCTTTATTCTGCTCATGTTAACATGTTTCAGACACGCAACAGCATCATATGGAAACATGCCTCTGGGCGAACGGTGTGGGAGGCCCTTTCCTCTGTAGTCAGAATTGTTATTGGGGTGTTAAAGCGTAGGCAAACAAACC